GAATTAATTGAATTAAATCGAAATCGAACAGAAAAACATGTCAAACAATTTTTGATAACAGCCACCTCTGTTCCAGATAACTAAAATACCATGGATATCTAGCATGGTAGGTGTAACCCGCCAATAACTTCCTGAGATATGTTTGTTCAATAATTCAATATTTCTTAGAAAGAATGATAACGCTCATCTTCTGCGTTTTGGATTTTTTTGGCCAGCACAAACTTTAAAATTTGGCAAACGGAAGTTATCAGCGTTTTGGTTCCTGTGAATATAAAAAACAAGAACAATATCAACATCTATAACAAAACAACAACAACCAAAAACTGATATTGAATACAATCAATAATTTGATTAGATTTGGTTTTCATTCCAATCATTTAAAAGAGTTTGAGGTCTGGCGATCGGGGCACAGTTCTAATCAAACAGTTAACAGAATAATAACAACCAACTGCGGGGCAAAATCGAGCAAAATAACAAATTTTCAGATATTTTGCTCTTTGCACCAAGAAAAAACTAAAAAAAAAGAAAAGTGAAAATTTTTTGAAAAAATTTCAAGAAAAAAATTGAAAAAATTTAAAGAAAAATTTTGAAAAAAAAATCAAAACTTTTTAAATCAGTTAAAATCAAATACAAAAAAAAAGAAAACAATGCAATTTGCCAAGCATCTTCTAATTTTTGCCAGCCTATTGGCCATGGGCCAAGGTTTGAGTTTACCACAGCTACGTGAATCCATTACCGAAATTGTAAGTATTTGGAAAACCAACAAAAAAAAAAAAAAAAAAAAACACCAACAAAAAATGTGAATTTAGAAGATCTAAAATAGAAAAATTTAATTAATAAAAAATTTTGAAAAATTTAAAAAAGTCTACACTTTTTGGAGACTTCAAAAAAACCAACTAAAACAAGCGCCGCCATTGAAATAAAAGCATAGAAAATTATTTTTTTATAAAAAAAAAATATTTCTGAAATTTCAGAAGACTTTTTAATGAATTTTAGTGTTCAAAAAATATACTTTTCGTGCAATTTGGAAAAGTCTCCACTTTTGGAAACTTTTTAAAAATCACGGCAAATGTTTTATAACCTAATTATAGTTGATAAAATATGATTTTGGAATTTTTTGGATGACATTTTGAAAGTCTCCACTACGAAAATTCGGAAATTACTATATTTTTTAGAGCTTTTTTTGTTGTAAATTTTTTGGAACAATTTTTAATGAATTTTAGCGGTCAAAAAATATAATTTCCGTGAAGTTTTGAAAAGTCTCCAATGGAATTTTTATTAATTTTTCGTAGTCGAAAAAATAAAATTTAAATTTAATAAAATTGTAAATGAATTTATTAAAATTGGTTTTTAAATTTTTTTCTTCTAGGCCCAAAATGTCTTGACCTTGTGCAATGGCCGCCATAATGACACCCGTTTTGCCGACTACAATGACTGCCACAAATTCTATGTGTGCAACAATGGCATTGCCCACGAATACAATTGTGATGAGGGTTATCATTTCGATAAGTACAGCCTCTCCTGCATGGATGGCAGCGATTGCCAAAATAAAGAATTCCCCGATGAATGTGTCGATGGTAGGGTGCGGGCCGTTGAAGGTGATTGTTTCATTTACCAGTCATGTGTCAATGGTCAATATCAAAATATTAAATGTCGTACGGGCCATTACTTCGATGCATCGAAGTTGTCATGCCGCCCAATTACCTACAATGCCAATTATAAATGTAATTGTGTTGTGCCCGATCACACCGTTATGTCAAATTTTGAAAATTGTGAAACCTATTATGTGTGTGAAGATGGTGAGGCGGTGTTGAACAAATGTCCCTTGGGTGAATATTATAATGCCACCTATAATACATGTGTGGAAGATTTGGATGGTACATGTCTGATGGAGCCGACAAAAGCTCCTCTGCGCCAACAAATGGAGAAATTTGCCAAGACCGCCGTGGAGAATTTGTGTCAAAATGTAGCCGCAGATGAGGTGGCATTCTATGGTTCCGACAGTGATTGTAATCAATTTTTGGTTTGCTCCAAGGGTCAATTGTTCGTGAAAAAGTGCCCTCAGAATTTCTATTTTGATGCTAATTTGAAATATTGCATATTCGATGGCGAACATAAATGTCAAGAGAATGGCCAGTTGGTGGAGGCCGCTAGCAATGCTAAGGAGAGTCAAACGATTCCCGTGCCAAAAGTGCTTGTCTCACCCCGAGAAATTTTATCTGGTCTTGTAAAATATTGAAAACAATATATATTTGAAAATTAATTCATTTGAATAATGTGATTCTCGTCTCCTCACTCTCTCTCGCTCTCAATGTACCTGGATTTTTTTATTTTCTTGAAAAATTAGGCCTTGGTCATTGTCAAGTTTTAGATTTTAGTTTTAGTACTACACATAATCATTATATATAAACATAGTTTTAAGCCCCCCTATATAAAAAAGTAATTGTATAATTTAATCAACAAATAATAAAACAAAAAGAAAGTATTATTTATTTGCAAAATCGAATGGAATGTCTAATCTTATCGTAAAGGTTTTGTGTGTTCACACACCATGACAGACACAGGTGATTGTTACCAACCTCAACAAGAAGTTTTTTGGTTTGTTTTCGAAAAGTTATATATTTCACTCTAAAAACCCAATTTTGATAAGCCATGATTGAACGACAGGTTGAAAGAATTTCCAATGACATATTGTTAAGATATAATTTAGTCAAGAGCAGGACATTAATCTGGTTTTTGACAGCTGCAAAAACAAAAAAACAAACCATCAAACAAGCAACACAAAGGGGCTATTGATTTATGTGGCCTTTTTTTATTAGGGGGTAATCTGAAAGATTAAATTTTGGGGTAAAGTTCTTTTGTTCGGCTACTAGACATTGTGGCGGGACAGGTAGTATGCAGATTTTGTAAATTAATATAGGAAAAAAACTAAAAGAGAACTCGAAGTTCTATTTTTTATGATTTATTTGAATTATTTCCAAATGGTGGTAAAAGACCCACAACCAAGGCCGCTAGAGGGTTAAATTATTCTACAAAATTAATCCTCATACGATACTAAATAATATTCCCATAGACTTTATAGACCCACAATATAAGGGTGGTTCGGAATAATAGGCATTTAAAAATCTCTATTACTAAATTAAAGATTTTTTTAAAGTAAATTTTAAATTAATGGAAAACTCATCGAACATCGAAGGGAAGCGGGTTGATATTTTCTACAAAAATGTTCCTCATGATGTTATAAACAATGTTTCAGAAGACATCCTCCAGATAAAATGAAGCATTACAAGGATATTGTAGCTACTTTAATTATTCAATGAATTATTTTAATTATTTTTTTAATGCTCATAAAAGACCCGTACCTTTGGTTCCTAGAGAGTTAATATATTTTACAAAAATAATCCTGATACGATACTGGATAATATTTCTGAAGACATCAAATACCCATTATATAAGGGTGGCCCGGAATCATATTACAGGGATTACAAGGGTTTTGTAGCTATTCTCACGGTTCAATGAATTATTTTAATTGATTTCATAAATGGCCATAAAAGTCCCATAACCACGGTCGCTAGAAGGTTAATATATTCTATAAAAAAACCTCATACGATACTTGATAATATTCTAGAAGACATCATAGACCCACAATATTAGGGTGGCCCGTAATGATAGGCATTTAAAATTCACTATGATTAAATTAAAAAATTATTTAAAGTACATTTTAAATTAATGGAAAAATCATCTAAAATCGATAGATAGCGGATTGGTATATTCTACAAAAATGTTCCTCATGATGTTATAAACAATGTTTCAGAGGACATCCTTTAGATCAAATGCAAGGATTACAAGCATTTCGTAGCTACTCTCACTGTTTAATGAATTGTTTTAATTAATTTTTTAAATGACCGTAAAAGACCCACTACCAAGGCCGCTAAAGGTTTAATATATTCTACAAAAAGAATCCTTATACGATACTTGATAATATTCCTGAAGACATCATATACCCAAAATGTATGGCTGTCCCGGAATCATAGGCATTTAAAAATCTCTAAGACTGAATTAAAGAATTTTTTGAATTAAGTTTTAAAATGACGAAAAAGTCGTCCAAAGTTTATAGGTAGCGGTTTGATATATTCCACAAATATAATTCTCATACCATTATTGATAATATTCCCGAAGACATCATATACCCAAAATACACGGTTGGTCCAGAATCATAGGCATTTAAAAACCTCTAAGACTAAACAATAAGTTAAAGTAATTTTTAGATTAATGGAAAGTCATCGAAAATATGCAGTTAGCATATTGAAGTATTCTATAGAAATGCCCCTCATGATACTATTAACTATGTTTGGGAAGAGATCCTTACGATAAAATGCAAGGATTACAAGGATTTGTAGCTATTTCGGTTCTTTAGTATTTCTATTTCAATTATTTTTAATATTTTTTAAAAGGGCATAAAAGTCCAATACCATCTGTCTCTAGAGGGTTAATATATTCTACAAAAATATTCCTCATGCGCTTCTTAATAAAATTCCAGGAAACATCATATACCCAAAATGTATGGCTGTCCCGGAATCATAGGCATTTTAAAAACACTAAAGGTAATTTAAAAAATTATTGAAATGACATAAAATTCATCATATACCCAAAATGTATGGCCCAGAATAATAGGTATTTCATAACTACTAAAGTCTGAAATTATTACTTCTAATTTACTTACCTTCCACGAGGTACGACAATAGGTAATTTAAAGGTAATTTAAAGGTAATTTAAAAAGGTAATTTAAAAAAATATTGAAATGGCATTTCAAATCAAATGGGCTGCCAAGACCCCTACCCTTGGTTCATAGAAGGTTAATATATTCTACAAAAATATTCCTCATGCGCTTCTTAATAAAATTCCACGAGACATCATATACCCAAAATGTATGCTTGTCCCATTATCATAGGCGTTTCATTGTTAATAAAGTTAAAAATTATTATTTCTAATTCACTTACCTTCCACGAGGTACGACAATAGGGTCCAATATTAACCGTACGACACAGGGTGAATACAAATTGCGGCAAAGGATCACTGGGGAAAATCGTATAACTCATTACCATTTCAAGGATATTCAGACATTGCAGGCCAATATCTTCATCCGAAACGGAACAGCTTAAATTACAGGCATTTCTGGAAAAAACAAGAAGTGTTAAAATAAGTTTCAAAAAATTAATAAAATAAAAAGGACAAAGGATCACAAGTTTAAGGCTCGTAGGACTATTTTCGTAGAAGTCCTTACTCCTCATTGCCTTGGGCCTCCCGAGCACTACTTACTGTACAATACCAATGATAATATCATTATCCAAATGGGCAGCATTAAATTTGATTAAATTCCCTAACATATCCAAATAGGGTCGCAACAGATTGGCCTGGTGTATGGCCGGTAGCCACAACAACATAAAACGTCCAATCTACCAAAAAAGGAAAACCATTAATTTTAATATTTTTAAAATGTGTGGAAACATAGCCCATAGTACCATTATCCGCAAAACTTCAGAACTTATCTGTTAACTCACCTTCTCTTCCAAATTCTTAATATCTTTACCATTCTCCGTCAGCGTATCCAATAGCTCCAGGCGATGCTTCAAATCTTCGGGAACTTCATGATTTTGTATTACCAAAAAGAATTGCTCCCGCATATAGGTTAAATTTTTATATTGTGTATAGATCAGACGTTTATAGAATGTCAAAGCCGTTTGACGACATTCAGCGGATTTGGTAGGCACCAATAAATCTTTGGTTGTATCCCATAGTTTAACTATGGCTGTTTCATCCAAATTGAGAGAGGGTAAGTGAATATCACTTAGATCTTTAAGGAATTTACAGCGTTGCGCCACCGGTTGTTCGGGCCGTAACTCCCATTCGGTTTCAGGGCGCAGTGATCTTTCGCTGCTGGAACCTGTAAATAAAAATCGGATAAATTAATTCGTAAATATGGATCCTTTGTGTTATCTCACCTGCCGGATTCTTGGCATTCTTCAAGAATGTCTTAAATTTTGATTTAGTCAACTCCTTGTCCTTGGAACTCATACTTCTGCGGCGTGTCTATAGAATTGGAAATTGTCTAATATTTAATAAATAGTATTCCCTTGAAATGTCCTTAGTCCTTTTAAATTGTAAATATTCTATTTTCGATCGGGTCCAATAATCTACTCCTTCTTCATATTCTCTCACAATTGTTCAATTGAACAATTCAAATGAATAATTCTTAATTCTTTGAAATGAGCCAAACGGAACTATTTCCCAATGTATGATACGAATCAAAGGAGGCAGATGAGAACGGACATTGTTTAGAAAGAGACATGGCAAATCAAGTGATAATAATAATAAATAATAGGGATGTGTAGAATGAGTGTGTGAGGCATAATGATGATATTCCCATCAGCTGTGAGGAACAGCTGATTGAGTTATGGTCTTTGGGAAATGAACCACTGGAACTATATGTAAATATTAAAAACGATGATTATTATTTTTTTTTTAATTTATTTCCATAGGTGATGGGGATATATTTTTTCTTGGCGGGAACGGGTACCTGTTTTTACGGAACCGATTATTACAAAATGAATATCATTCTAAATATTATATCTCTTTCCTCTCCTTCATGTCCTCACACACACACACAAAAATTATTGACTTCGATGAAAAGAACGACCAGAACTATTTCCTTCCAGATGATACGAATGGCCCAAAATTTCGTTCTGTTTACGAACGAGTGTGTAAGGCAAAATTGTGATATTTGTATCAGCTGTGGGAAACAGCTGATGGTGTTATGGTTTTTGGGAAATGAACCACTGGAACTACATCTAAATATTAGGGAACAGTTCTAGTTTAGTAAAAACGATCAGATTTTTTTTTATTGAAATTTTTTCAGGGTACTGTTACAGATACCTGGTTATACGGAACCGATTATTACAAAATGGATATAATTTTTAAATTTATACCTCCATTTGTGAGATAGAGTCAAAAAAACCGGTTTCTGGACCCAGATGTTTTTAAAACCAGTCGAACCAGAGCCCCAAATTATGTACTTTTAGCTTTCCGATATGGTTGTGGCTGTATCTATTTTAGGCCAAAAAATATGGACCTTCGAACACTACAAACATTCTGGGGCATCACAGCCGTTCGATCTATAGATTCTGAAATCTTCTCGACCACCTATTGCAAAAGTTCGCAAGTCGAAAAGGTAGCAGTAAATGGTTTTAACAATCTGGCTGCAGAGCCTCAAAAATCCATCGGACCGAAAATTTCCCGCTAAAAATCTACATCGGTTGCCATTGTTATCACTGAGCATGAACGTGATCGTTGTAGCATTTTATATGAACATATTTTTCCTGCTTAAATTCAATCTGATTCTGTCTCCAAATTAAGAAATGCAGCTACTTCCACTAGCTGCAACCACAGATCTTCAGGAGTAAGATGAGTAGATTTGAATTGGCGATTGAACAAGTGCAGTGTGGTATGAAGGTCCGTACCATATGCTTGGGCAGACATCCTGCACCTGGTCATCAATCCGTGCCCAATACGAATTTAGACAACTGCGCCACCCTGAACGTAATTGGGCCCAATTTACTCTGGTTTGTCTGGGCATCTGACGTCCGCCAGCTGCTATGGGTGAGGGGTGAGCTCCGAGGACGGCATTCAATCTGCATTCGTTCAGCGCTGCGGCTACTGCATACAGATGCAGTAGCCGCAGCTATTTAGACTTGCTCGATAGGCAACTTGATATAGAGGCTCAATTTTATATATGTTTGTATACTTTGTTTTTGTTGTTGTTGTGGAAATTGAAACCATAATCCCAGATCAAAAATATATCATTGAGAACCTTGTTCCCTTCCCAGTTTATCGCTGATAGCCCTTTGCAGACGATTTAAAGATGTTGCCGAATGCAATTTCTAGAATTTTTGGGGTATTTAGTGGTGGAAATTCGACCTGTACATTCCGAATCTTTTATTTTGTTAGCATTTCATGAGATGAACACTTTGGCCAAAGAATACGTGGTAGATATTTTCATGCTCCTCTCTGGAAAAAGGCTATCAAATTTACGAGATAGGTGTTCTACCTTTCACATAGAGATCTGAAGGGTATAAAGTTCCTAAAAATAGATGTTAAACAGCTCTGGAGATAAAAGTTACCAGTTTCACTCTACGTGATTCTGACTTCTTATTCTGAAAGTCCGCGAACGGCTGGCCGGACTATACCAGTCGTACTTGCGTAGTTGGAGTAGTTAGTGATCGGAACTGTATGTCCCACGGGTTTCAAGGCTTATAATCTCAGCATTTAATGTGGGAAACAGCCCTGGAGATATACTTCTTATTCCGGTACGTGTGGCCGGATTATACCATGGTTGGGGGCTAACAAAGGCTTTTAGGATGACAAGTACCACCAACACTGTATTAAATATGTCCTTTTTTAAAGAATAACTTTTCAAGGTATATTAGAAGCGTGGGTTATTAAAAGAATACCTTTTCAAGGTCTATTAGAATTTTTAAAGCATATTTTTTCAAGGTCTGTTAGAAGTGTGGATTTTTAAAAAATTCCTATTCAGGGTCAATTAGAAACAAGAATTTTTAAAGATCAATAACTTTTCATAGTCTATTAGAAGCGAAAATTTTTAAAGAATACCTGTTCAAGGTCTATTTGAAGCTTGGATTTTTAAGGAATAGGTTTTCAAGTTCAATTAGAAATGAGGATTTTTAAAGAATATCTTTTAAGGGTCTATTAGAAGAGTGGATTTTTAAAGATTACATTTTCAAGGTCTTTATAGGAATTATGAAGTTTTAAATAATATTGTTCCAAGGTCTATTAAACGCGAGGATTTAAAAAAATATATGTTTTCAAGGTTTATTAGAAATATGGATTTTTAAAGAATATTTCTCTTCTCCCAAGGTAATTTTTTCACAAAAAATCTAAAATAACCTTCTGAATTTTTCCGCCTATAAAGAAAATTTTTTACATTTAAAAATATTCTGGGAAAATATGACTTAATCTAACCCAATCACATTCTAAAATTAACAACCAAAACAAATAAAACAATTGGTAATTAGGAAATTTAATAAAAACATGAATATTTTAGAATTTCTATTAAACTTTAGCTAGAAGTGTGGCCACACACTCATTTCATAGCCAACGCCGTTACTTGTGCTACCTTCATAACGGCGTACTAACCTCTTGCCTGTTAAACAAAAGTCGTTGGCAACGCGAACCAAAAGTTCTTTGCAAGTCGAGAGCAAAAATCGACTTTTAGACTTTTCAATGCAAAAATTTCGATTAATCGATTAGTCGAAAGTCGATTTACTTATCCCTGAAAAATATACCGAGAAAATTTGTAATAATTTGCAAAGCAATTGAAGAAAAAACAGAAATTACTTCACTCAAAAAATACTAGAAACCAGAATCAATTACGTTGAAAATATTTAAAATTATTTAAAAAGAATAACAAATAACCATTTCAAGTATTTGCGTGTCGTGAAATTGTTTTAGTGGGGCAATTGTAAAACAATTGCTTAAGCAGCAGCATTAATTTTTTTGCTCTTCGGATTATTTTCTGGCAAGCAGCTAGGTAAGTCGATAATTAAAGTGAAATAAATAGTAAATTAAATGGGGAGAGCTTTAAAGAAGTAAATAATAGTGAATTTTATTGTTTATGTTTTTAATTTTAAAAAATTCCTTGTTAAGTATTTTATTAATAGTTCGAGAAACTGCATCCATTTGACGACTAACCTCTTCTAGAAGTGGTTGCCCTTGCTCATTTTTTCCTCTTTTTGTGTGTGTTTTCTTTTTATTTGCTTTGCATTGCAGTTTTTTCTAGTGGTTTTCCTACTCCGCCATTTTGATGCAAACCAACAACAACAGCAGTATAAAAAAACTTGCAAATAGTGCAAAACATTTTTTTAAGTGTCATATCTATAATATGTAATGTGCAAAAATATATATATGCGTATTGTTTTGTAAATGATTCATTGAAAAGAAAAAAGTGTTTGTTTTTTATTATTATTATTGTTTTGCTTGCTGCCTACAAGAATACTGTGTGCTTGCTTCTTGATAGTTCTCTTTTTAGTTTTGTTCTGTCTTGTCTTGTTTCGTTTTTTTTTATTCATTTATTTGTTTCATATATGGTTTGGCATTTGTTTACATTATACGGCGGTGGCGGCGAGACAAGCCATTGCAAATTAATTCGCGTTCTCTCTTCCTCCCTCCGTCTTCCTCTCTCTCTCTTTCTCTTGTTCCCTAATAATTAGCGTGGTTTTATATTTGTCGGGATCGGGATCGGTGTTGAGAGTTTCTCTCTCGAGAGAGAGTAATTAGAGTTGCGCTATTTTTAATTTTGTAACAAGCGTACTTTTTGTTAACAAAAGGTACGAATTGACAAATACCAAAACAAAAATTCGATTTTTTATTATTCTTGAATACATTTACGCTTAAATTATAACATATGTTATTTATGCAAATAACTGGTATAAATATTGGCCAATATTTCTCGATAATTATAATTTATTATCATTTGAAGTAGAATTTAAGGTACATTTTCGTACTTTTTTGTTTCTACCTGTGGTAATGTTTTCCAACACAATTCACAATTTACCACTGAGAGAGAGAGAAACTCTCAACACCGATCCCGATCCCGGCAAATATAAAACCACGCTTATAACTGTCAATATTTAATATGATAAGTGTTGCCAACTAAATGTTATTTCCTATTAGCATTTGAGTGTTGAGAGAAGAGAGCGAGAGATGTGTGTGTGTGTGTGTGTGCGAAATATGACATTGCTTTGATGTGAGCTTTGTTTGTTGTCTGGTGAGGCTATATTTATAATTTTAATTAGCAATTAACTAATAAAAAATTATTAATAAATAAACAAAAAACAGAAATAAATAAATACGATTGATGTTAATTTATGAAGCATGATTTTCTATGACGTTTGCAAGGAACAACAACAGCAAAGATATGGATGGAGTCTTTTTGACAAATTATTAATTGTCATTGAAGCATTCAATTAATGTCATGACTGACTTCCTTGTGAAATTGTACTCATTACAGTGGGCATGGGGAGTGCAAACAGCAGAAAAGGACGAGTGTAAAAAAGTATTCGTAGAAAAGGAACTTGAAAATAATTGGAGGAAAGCCTGAATTTTGAAGATTATATTTTTCAAAGTATATTAGAAGCGTGGGTTTTTTAAGGTCTATTCAAAAGTGTTCAATTTAAAAGTGTTCATGTTTAAAATAGATCACGTATAAAGTCCTACCCTATTGTAGGTCTTCTATATAGACAGAAGACCTTCTGAAGATCTATATAGACCTAATACCTTCTGAAGGTCTGCTCTATAAAAATAATACCTTTCGAAGGTCTTCCTTAAAGGCAGAACACCTTCTGAAGGTCTTCTATACAGACCGAACATGTTCTGAAGGTCTTCTATACAGACCGAACTTCTTCTGAAGGTCTTCTCTCTAGGCACAGGACATTCTGAAGGTCTACAATATAGACAGAAAACCTTCTGAAGGCCTTCAATATATACAGAACATCTTCTGAAGGTCTTCTATATATGCAGAGGTCTTCAATATAGACAGAAGACCTTCTGAAGGTCTTCAATATAGACAGAAGACCGTCTGAAGGTCTTCTAAATAGACAGAAAACCCCCTGAAGGTCTCCAATATATGCAGAAGAGTTTCTATATGTATTGAATATAGGCCTTCAATAATTTTTTTATATTTCTAGGAAGCTGTAGCTCATCGTTCTCTGATTCCTTGACTCCTTTCTAACGTTTTTTTTTTCTAATTTCCTTTAAATTTTCCTTTTTATTTTCAGCCCCTCGGGTTCACTGTCGTCTTATTGTTTTCATTAAAAAAAGGAATCCCTTAGGATTTTCGAAGCTAAAGATGAGTTCAACCGAAGAAACCAGTAGCCAAGCAACAACACCACAAGATGGTCCCGAAGAACCACAGGTGAGAATTTCAAACTCCTTTCAAATTTGTATTTGTAATTATATAATTTTTGTTGTTGTTGTTTTTTTTTCCTAGTCAAATGCCCGTGAATTGGAAAAAATCGAAGAGGAGAAATTAAAATCAAAATACCCTGTGGGATTGAGAGGCCCTGGCGGCCATACTGCTTTCTTGCAAAAGCGGTTACAGAAGGGGGTAAGTGAATGATATATTCCTTTTTTAAATTTTTATTTAAAATTTATAATTTTTTTTAGCAAAAATATTTCGATTCCGGTGATTATCAAATGGCCAAACAAAAAGGTGGCGGCATCAAACAGGTGTTTGCCAATAAAAATACAACCGGTGAAGCCATACCAACACCCGAGACTGTGCCTGCGCGTAAAACATCAATTATTCAGCCTTGTAATAAATTCCCAGCGACGAGTTAAGTTATAGTAATTACAACAAAAAATAAGCCACATAAAAAACACCTTGCTCTTACCTCTGCAAAGAAACAAAACAAACAGAAAAAACAAAACACATGCAAATAACCTATAATTTACTCTACTACAGCCCTACACACTCTATACTATAAAATGATATTTAATATATTTTTCTGGAAACAACAACAATATTGTATGCAAATTATAAAAAATAGGTTTAATATTCCTTTTCAAAACAACACAAAATTCCTATAAAAAAGTAGATTTCTTTCAAATTATCGAAATTTTATTGAAAAAGAAATAACTGAAATTCCAAAACAAAATTTCAAAATGTATCCTTTTGAATCTTCAAGCTCCTGGCATCCATTTTTAAATCGCCTAGTTTTGTAAAGGAATAACCTTAGTTTTTATTTCTTATATAGTTTCCACCATTTTTTCTTTCTTTTGTATACGAAATCAAGCATTATTTTCTTATGCTTTGTTATTCTAGAGAAAAAAAATGTTCTTGCAAAACCAGGGGGTAAACATAAAACAAGCCTTTATCTTTAGTTATTAAGTCATTTTAATTAATTAATTTTTTTCTGCTTACTACTCATTTTTGTTCTGTAAAATTACAATTACAAGCAAACAACAAACAAACAAAAACCACAAAATCGAAAACGAATTGAAAAACTTTACAAAGCAAAAAAATATTAATAAAAAAAACACTAAATTAAAAATGCATATTTATGTAAAATTACAAATTGTTAAAAAGAAAAAGGATTTTCATTAAAGGGGTGGCTGGAAAAAAGGGCCTCAAAGGATTTTCATAAATAGAACACGTAAAAGACAGAACACCTTATGAAGGTCTACTATATACACAGAGGACCTACCAAAGATCTTCAAAAAAGATGGAAGACCTTCTGAAGGTGATTATTTCTTTTTTAGATATGTTTTCAAAGACCAAAACTCTGAAACGGAATAATGTCGATGGCTATAGAGATCAGACAGAAGATATATTACGTATCAAGGTTGCACTTTCCCAACCACTTTAGGTTTCTAATCATGATGTAGATTAGAACAAGTTTAGTTGTTGAGAAGAATCTAAGACTCGGTGGAAAATAAGCACCCACTAGTCTGTGCCGCCTGTAAGCCAGTTCTGGACTGTGACCCAGAAGATTCTCAATTATCTCAACGCAGAGTGTACAGTAATCAATTAAATCAAGATCCCATTTACTAGTAAAGGCCCTGATATTGCAATGACCAGTAATGATTCCTGTCATTACTCTTATTTCCTCGTCTAGCTCTTTCATTACCCAAGATGTCACGGTGTCTTGGTTGCCAACATAGCCGATAGCTGTAAGTTCTTCCAAAGCTATTCTACACTTGAAGAAGGCCTCAGATTTGATATTTGATTTGATGGCTTTAAGAGCCGCTTGACTATCCACGAATATAGTCACCGGTTCAACGACCTCTGCATCCAGACTTTTTATCAATTCCGCTGTCTTCCAAATCGCGAAGATTTCAGCTTGGAAAATACTACAGTTGTAATCCAGCTCGGTGGGTTAACTCAAGTCATAGCCTTTCACCGTAGACGCCTGCCCCTGTACCTCCTTCCATCATGGATCCGTCTGTATAGAAGGGCAGACCGTCCAGAGGAGGGTTACTACGGCACCAGTCTACTAGGAATAACGACATCTACATCGTCAAATCTCAGGACTGGTTTTACGCGTTGGTCCAATGTTATACCTGGCTCGTTCAAGCCATTTTGCATAAGTGCTGCGGTTTTTATTAATGCAGCGTCCTATTTCCTTTTTTTGAGGATTGTGTCGTCGTCGGCTTATTCTTCTAAACCATGGACTTCAAAAAGTACAAAGAAAAAAATCGAAAGATATTAAATTGCAATATTTTGGCGGTAAAAGGTTCGTCTTTTATTTGTGTGTTATTTGTCATAGTAGGCCGAGTTGCCAATCGCAATTTACTTGCCGCCGCCATAGACGTAGTGGATTTTTATTATTTAATTTTTCACAATTCCTCAAAAAAAGGTAAAAGAAATGATCAAACAGTTAACTTCTGAGGATACCTTCTTAAAAATTTGCAATTATTCCGTATTTTGGTAGTTGTCACCAAATGAAGTTCATCGTTTGGAGCGCTTTTTATTTCGGTGTCAATTATTGCAAGAAGCGCTTTTTGTTTTGGTGTCACTTGTTTGCTACACTGCGTTGCCAATCACAATTAACTAGCCCAAGGTGTCAAGCCGTTACCATATAGACGTTGTTGATTTTGGTTAGTCCTTTCTTTTCCTAGTTCCTTGAAAGAAAAACTAGAAAATTATGACCAAAAAGCTAACACCTGAGGATGCCTTCTTTGAAAATCTCCTACTGGGTTTAAATAACACACTGGGTAAGTTAAAATCTATAAAAATATATAGAAAAATATCTCAAAAATTAATTCTTGTCAGCCGATGTCCCTCGCGTCTGCAATGTCAGTGTGGAAAAGCGTCAACCCTGTGAGAAGTCCCAGCTTGTTACATGGGAACAAAGGCACGGAGTCTATTTGCCGGAAGATATGAAGAAGTTTTATTTGTCCACAGATGGGTTTATACTGCAATGGAGTTATCAATATGCACGTAAGTAAATTAATAATTTTTAAAATTTTAAATTAAATTTTGTTTTATTTTTTTCATAGCCAACGACATACGTAAAGTGGGCTATATACATTTTCGCCATTTATTGGAGATTACCCTGCTAAGGGAAAATGTGGAGCCGGTGTTTGCCAACAATGCGGATAATACGAACCAGCATGGTAATTTTTCCAATACCTTAAGTAGTTATAATCAAACAACAACCGCGTCAGCATCATCCTCATCCACCACCGATCATTGGGGTAATCCTCTGCCGCAAATTGGTGCAAAAACTAAAATCTTTGAATTAAATACCATCAATGAAGTGGCCAAGGTGTGCTTGCTCTACGATTCTTCGGGTAGCAATGCACCGAAAATATATCTTTTGGAATTGGCCAATTTAAAATGGGTATTTTTGGCAGATAGTTTTAGTGAATATCTTCGCATGGCTATTGCCCATTTGGGTTTACCATATTGGGAGTTATGTTTTGCCTCGTGTGGCCTGCCATCATGGACAGAACAATTATTTTTACTGTTGGCACCCCATCTGTTGGAAGAAAATGAAACAAGACGTAGTAGAGTGATAAATCCGGGACCCGAACATCCTCACAATCTACTGGATCCGAATATATTTCGTGTTAAATTTAAGGCCTCGACGAACAAGAGTAATGCACAAGGTAAACATAAGTAAGCAAATTTGGTGGGGGAATTAAAAACAACTCAGAAAATATTTAAATATTTTAAAATGGTGGAAGTTTTAAATTTTTTTTAAAAAAATCCACGCCTGCGGTCCAATCCGTATTGAACAAATATTAAAAAAAATAATTTATTTAGTTTTCTTATTATTTTCTTTTAATTATAAAAAATATTTCTTTTTTTGAAAATTATTCTATTGCATTTTTTTGTGTATGTGACTCAAGACATTTAAATAAAAAAACAAATACTTGTTGTTTCCTAATCGAAATCAATGTGATTTTCCAAATCGGCAAACATTTTATCCTTAATACGTGGTTTGGGATCTTCCTTAATTTCCGTGGGCACTGCACCAGCTTGTCCCAACATATATTCCAATTCATCTTGTGTCAGTTTGTCACCTCTCAATTCCAAGGGGCCAACATATTGTTTTCTCAGCTGGCCCTCAAAGTAAACAAACACGGTGGGGCAATTCTTTTCGGGGAAATTTGGTATACATGTGGTGGCAACAGAACGCAGGAATTTCGTTTGAGGATAACGTGCAGCCAATGCTTGCATATGATGATGGATGAGAGAACACAGTGGTACACCATTGGCATAGAGATGCAATACCACCCATATACCCTCACCAGCCTTGGTAACTTCATCGACATAATCACAGCCAGCTATCTCACGTACTGTACCAAATTTAGCTTTCTCGGCGAATGCTCTCATTTCGGCAATACGTTGTTGACGATACCGTTCGAGGACCTCTTCATCTTCAGAATCCTCCAGTTCATCTAATTCATCCAGGTTCATGTCTTCTACATTTTTACGACCATCAGCAAGGTCGGTACGTTTTTTTATGGTTTCATCGATCATGGCTTGAATTTGGTCCTCCGTAATTTCGGCCTCCTTGGGTTTTTGGGGTATAATGCCTTTGGCACGCAAGACATCATTCCATTCAGTATCTTCATCGTAATTGGGTTCCTAGAAAATATAATATGACCAGTGAGGAATACATAAATATTGTAGTAATAGGTGCAGCACATTGCTTTTTGTTTATTTATTTTTAGTTCTTTTTATAGCCATCGTTGTTGTTGTTTATTGCTCAACAGTGGTATTCTTTCCATATATGGGCAAAAAAGAACGAACATCTTTCATTTGTTTACAGCTGTTGTTTGTTTTCGGAAAATTTCACTTAAACTTACCATTTTTATTTAATTTGTTTATAAATTAATTGAAAAAATACTTTAAATTTTAATATTTATATAGATTTTTAAGAATATTAATGAATTATTGTCTGTGGGAGGTGACTAATCCTCCCTACTATGAAAAGAAAATATCAATGAAATGCTATCTGCCAAAAGGAAAAATAAAATGCATGACGGCTGAGTGGTATTCACTTTGCATTGATAGCACTGCCTTTGCCAACAGCTGGTTAGTTGGCAACGTATACGTAACGGTGACGTAAGTAGTGTGTAGCATAACTAATGGCAATACATAAATACGAAAAGAATAAAGGAAATCTATTGTTTTTGTTAAAAATTGTCGTGAAAGATCTTGTTTTTTTCTGTTTTTGGACCTATTAATAGTTGCTATAAATATCAAGTAGAAATACAGCTTCAGCATGAGGATGTGTAGCCTGTATACCGCCCTCTAAGAATAAAAAAAATGTTGTGTATACCCGGTTGTGTTTTAATAAAAGTTGTTTATACCTTCCGGCCAATAGATAACCGTGCTTTTGTTCCCTTATAAAATGGCTTGGACTTAACGCAGAATTGACGTTTTTTCTCCACTGTCATTACAGATTCGTGGGGCATCGGCTGGCAAGGCTTAATTCTTAACATGATTTTGTTTTGTTTTTGCCTCGACCATCTGTCAATTTTTTCCATATGATATTTCACATGGTTGGCAACATTGCACATCGAATTCATGTTATTTATTGTGCCATGGTTCTTAAGTTAAATTAGACTATTAATCTCAGTAGCAAATCTTCAAATATTGCATTCTCAGATGTTAGCTTTTTAGCTTCATTTTGTCTTGTTTTTCTTTCAAGAAATTATGAAAAATTAAAAAAGAGTAATAAACAACGTCTATGGTAAGGCCTTGGCACTTTGGGTTAGTAAAATGTGATTGGCAACGTGATTTTTAAATATGTTCTAAGGGAAACTTTTTTACTTTTTTTCTAAAGGAAATTCAATGAACATTTATTTACATAAAAATACAATATTGAATAATGTAATTATTTTTTTTTTAATTCAAATCATATACAACCACATAAATTAAAATTATATAAAGAGAGATTGAAAATTGGTTCCCATTTTTTTGTTATTGAAGAAATTATAGAAAACATAATCTCTAATGTTTACTTTTGGCATATAGAATATCATTCTGTGATTCGGATTCCTCTTCATGTCAGGAAACTTCCCACACTGTCGATTCCATGGAGCGTCGTGGTCGGGAGGCCACCTCTACATGAGCATCGAGGCCATCACTGAGCCGGGAAAAACGACGAGCCCAACTGCGACGTGATGCAAATGGACCACCACCTCCGCCGCCGACTCCTCCACTTTCCGTGGTGGGAAATTGTAGGCTGGCATTACTGTGACGACTGCCAGCATCACGAAATACACTCATCAGATCTTGGCTATCCACTTGGGCTCGCTTCATGCCGTGTTGATATTTCGCCTCCTTGGCCAGCAGTTGTTCTCGCTGCATTTGGGTCTTAACTTCGGCTGGGATATCGGGTATAATGAACTGCATAACGCCTGTGATGACGAAGACCACGTGCTGCAGGAAATATAAATAAATGAGAAAGTTTCTTTGGAGGGAGATTGAAAAATATAACCTTACCTCAAACACCACCACAAATGCCAAGCGGGCTGCAAAAACATGCCAATAGTGGGGACTTAAACCATAGGGTTCGTAATCTTCAGGACCATTTCTATATATAAGAAATAAATTTATTTTTATTTTTTTACTAAAAATAAAAATCAAATCCCTCCCTCCATTTGCTTACCTATAACCTCTATAATAACATGTATCCGGATCTTTTTCCGTTTTGGCACCCCATTCCTCCTTATAATCCGATGTATTGAACACCGACAGTGAATGTTCGATATAACCCACTAGGGTATTCGATTCGGAGTAGACGAATTTATAGACCATACGTGGTATAAAATCACTGGTATAGGCAATGACAAAGGCATTTGAAACCACCGCCGTATAGGTTATAATCCGCAATATGCCATACCATGCACCAATATCTTCAACACGTTCGGCTAGCGGTCGTCTGGCCTGAGTTACCATTTTATAGGCATCCAAACGTATCTCGGCAACATTATTGAGCAAAGCGAAAAGGGGAGCCAAGGGGAAGGCTGCCACAAATAGGGTTACGAAGCCATATTGGAGAACTGCAAAGAAGGGGGACATTTTTATGGATTTTTAAATGGAACGTTTTTCAGTGCGGATAGGTTTTCAAATGAGAGGGAAAATAAAGTTATTTAAATTTTAGTTTTTAGTTGCCGTTAGGTTATCATATGAGAGAGAAATGATGGAATTGAAGTGGAACGTTTTTCGATGAGGATAGGTTTTCAAGCCAAATGGAACGATTTTATTTGAGGGTAGATTAAAAGCGTTCGGTGTGAATTTTTTAAACATTTTATAAGAGCTATGGGTGGATTTTTTTAAAATAATTTCTAAGGTCCCAGCCTAGGCGTGAGCTTTTTAAAGGTCCCAGCCTAGGCGAGGATTTTTTAAGATTAGTTTTAAGGACACAGCCTAGGCGTGGATTTTTTAAGGTCCCAGCCTAGGCGAGGATTTTTTAACGTCCCAGCCTAGGCGTGGATTTTTAAGGTTCCAGCCTAGGCGTTGATTTTTTAAGGTCCCAGCCTAGGCGTGGATTTTTTAAAAAATTTTTTTCGGTGTGAATTTTTTAAACATTTTATAAGAGCTATGGTGGATTTTTTTAAAATAATTTCTAAGGTCCCAGCCTAGGCGTGAGCTTTTTAAAGGTCCCAGCCTAGGCGAGGATTTTTTAAGATTAGTTTTAAGGACACAGCCTAGGCGTGGATTTTTTAAGGTCCCAGCCTAGGCGAGGATTTTTTAACGTCCCAGCCTAGGCGTGGATTTTTAAGGTTCCAGCCTAGGCGAGGATTTTTTAACGTCCCAGCCTAGGCGTGGATTTTTAAGGTTCCAGCCTAGGCGTTGATTTTTTAAGGTCCCAGCCTAGGCGTGGATTTTTTAAAAAATTTTTTTCAAGCTTTAGAATTTTTTTCTAATTGGGCGCCACTTACTCATTTCCAAATATTCATCGAACAGCGCCAACCTTCCCGGATCCTGCATATGATAATCCTGTTCCCAGGCCATGTGCAAATGACTCTCATCCTTGGTGGCCTGTTTATGCTTGCGTTGACGCCACCAATTATAGAATTTCGGAAATAGATATTCCATAAAATTATTCCAGCATTGTTTGCCAACCATAATAATTGCCAACTGAATACATAATTCCGAAAGACATCCTGCCGGATCGCATATATCATTTTTCAAACGAAAGAAATCACTGCGGCGGGCCTGATCATCTCCTGGATAATCAAAAAACCTGCCCTTAAAGAACGCGATGTAAATCAGCGACGAATAAAAGTTCATAAACTCAAAAAAGAATATCTTGAACGTATACGAATCTTCGTATTCCGTGTGGGTGCGGGGATTTTCCAGGTTCGTCAGACGTATGGCCAGTCGGTGGTAGATCTGAAAGGAGATTTTTTTTGTAAATAATCTATAAAAAATTCTATATAAAATCCCTACCCTTGTCAATATCATAATGACCACCAAGTTAATGAGGGCCGCCGTTATTGTGGTAAATAATTTGGCATGTTCATTCACGAAAAATCCCCCACCGCCATAGATCACAGTCACCATGGATATGCGGTAGATAATGGTGCCCAAAACGGCTGACAAAACTATGACAATCTGCAAAAAGTGATGGGGTTGGTAAATCAAAGAAGGACCAATTTCTGAGTTGCCAACTCACCATAAAGAATACCGCACTCCCAGTAATAACAAAACGTATCGTTCGACTCCATGTTGACATATATGGTTCTTTTTCTCTGGTCACCGGATTTATACGAAAATTCGTGGCATTCGTTTCAAATTCAGGGCGATTTTCCTCGTCGGATTCAACGCTATTCAAATCCCATTCCCAAACAATTACCGACTGTTTTCGTTTCCATAACTCCAGAAAAGTTGTAGCTAAAAGTTTTGGGTTACCAATCAGGTGTTGCCAATCAATGTCTTCTACATACTCACCCCAAAATGACATGAAAATCGCAAAGAATACCGTTGACGGATTATCGAACAAATAGGTAATCCTCGAAAACAAACATGACTGAGACAACCTCTGATAGCTACAAGCCTTATCACATAGCGGACAGAGTGTAATATTACCCGGTCCCAAATCATTGCAAATCTCCTTACTCGGTGTATTATCTTCCGACTCTAGCGTTGCCAAACCATAAATAAAACATAGGGTACCCACAATCGATGGATATACCAACATTTCCGTATAGAAACCTAGCCAACAAAAGTACAGGGCAATTTTGTCGCCAAAATATTTCCGCACCAAACACAATGGTTGTTTTTTATACCATTGTGAGGGATGGGCCCAGGTTTGATAGAGTATTCGACGATCCAAGGAGACGCCACTCGAATGCGGACGATCATAACGTCCTTCGTGCAGGGGGAAACAAGCTAAATAGGTTTTATCATTGAGCAAACGACGTATTCCGCAACGATCACTGTCATCGAAGGGAGTGCGCAGCAGAACCTGCATAACCATCAGGGAACGTTGGGCGCTGGTGAACGAGGTGGCACGATCTTTCACTATGAATCTGTAAGGAAGGAGGATTGTTAATTTTGGAGGATAATTTTCATGTGTGTGTGTGTGTTTGACTTACTGTTCTTCGGGATTCCCATTAGCTGTGGCAGCCTTGAAGGTCGTCTCTCCCTCCAGCACACTTTTATCCAGCTGAATTCGTTGCGTAAGTTTTTGCCAGACATCTTTCCAATAGATTATGTTGCGGGATACAATGTTCTCTTCGTCCTGACAAGAAAGAGGAAATAAAATAATAATAATGGAAGCTGATCAAGAGAATGAAAAAGGACTTCTGGAGAAAATGGACTTCTGGAAAGGACTTCATAGAAAAAACTGGTCTTGTGGTCGGGTTGCGGAGCCGTTTATAGGAAAGATTGGCAAATGTGCATTGGAAATCATATAACCGAGAAGCTAATGAAGATAATTGCCAATGGTTCAGGTTGGAAGAAGAAATCGGCAGGCAAAGGTGGAGGTTGCGCATATACTGGCATAAGCCGTGCACGCTCTCCGAGGTGAGGAGACCTTTAATAGTTTCACAATATAGAATCACGTTTAAAGGTCTTCCTAAAAAATCTTCTGAATGTCCTCCAAACACCGAAAGCTTTTTGCAGGTCTTTTCTAAATAGAACTTTCAATATTTTCGATTCTGCCCTATTCCACTTACCCATGGTGACTTAACCGAAATCGTTATGAATCTCTTGACGGGCAACTTCAAATTCATAACCTCCGCCAGGCGGGTCTCCAAACGCCAGGGTAAATGTATTTTCAAAAAATAGGTACATTCATTAAACGATTGCGTCTTATCCTCCAGTTCGACTTCGAGACCTTCTTTAATTAGATTTTCCATAAAGTTTTTACGATGATCCCGTTTACGTGATTCTGCTTCGGTCATGACGCCTAAATCCTCCTCTTCCCATGCTAAGACCATATCGATTTTACGACGACCATCACGAAACATTAGCGATTCGGAATCTAAACCTTCACGATCCTGTTTGCTGACACGTCGGGATTGAGTCTCTTCCATGGAGTTACGTTTACTTTCCTTGCGGCTGTTGTTGAAGAAGCTACCATTCAAACTCGATTCCATGGAGGATTGTTTGGAGTTATTGGTGTTGTTGTTGTTGGTTAGGGACTTTTCATAGGGTACCAATTGTTTGTAGGCAAACGGATCGTCCATTATCGTGTTGGGGGTGGGAGTGTTCGTTTTGATTACGGACTTCTCCAAATCGTCCTGCCTTGGAGTTTTGGAGTCACTGCCTCCATTGGTAATGGGTGTTTTTTGTTCCTCAGGTTCGGGTGTGGGTGGTGCCGACAGATGTAGACCCAGCGAACGATGCATTGCAGTACCGGGTAAATTTTCCAAATTATCAATTTTCGGTCCAAAGGCCTGAGTTGGACTGGGTTCGGCGGAGTCATATTCCAAGTGGGTCGGCAAGGGTATGGCCATGCTGTGGGTTTTGAAATAATTTGGGCGCCATTTTTCATTGTAATGATTGTTGTTGTTACTGTTGCAGCCGGGTAGGCTATTGCGGTGGGTATTGGTATTGGTGTGGTTGTTGCTGTTGTTATTATTAAAATAGGAAATCGGTAATACTGACATTTCCGTTTCCGGTGATTGTTGTTGTTGCAGCTGCTGAGCATAAAGATTTGTTGGTGTGTGTCTATCACTGTGGCTGTCGCTGTCATTAATCAGCAACGAATAGATATTTTCCGATGAACTCTGTTCGGCATGATGGGCACTGTGGGACGTCTGAAAGGGTGAGGGATCGAAGAGGCTTAAATCCTGAAAGGAGAACAACAACAAAAATTGGTATTAAAAATCGAATACCAAATGGCGCCCAACGTGACATTATCCATTTAAAGAAAATATGCAGAGGGAAAAGTTCTCAGAATTTTTGTCTATAAAAATCGGCAGGACCTCAAGTCTGAATTTTTTCCTATAGAAAAAAAGTCGCCAGACCGCAGGTCCAAGTTTTTTCTATAGACAAAAATTCGGTCCATGTTTTTTTCTATAGAAAAAAAATTTGACCGCAGATCCAAGTTTTTTCTATAGAAAAAAATTCGTCGGACCACAGGTTCATGTTTTTTCTATAGAAAAAATTCGTCGGATCCCAGGTCGAAAAAAATTCGTCGGACCCCAGGTCCATTCGACAGACCGCAGGTCCAAGTTTTTCCTAGAGAAAAAAATTCGTCGTACCACAGGTCCATGTTTTTTCTATAGAAAAAAATTCGCCAGACCGCAGGCCCAAGTTTTTTTCTATAGAAAAAAATTCGCCAGACCGCAGGTCCATGTTTTTTCCTAGAGAAAAAAATTCGCCAGACCGCAGGTCCAAGTTTTTTTCTATAGAAAAAAATTCGCCAGACCGCAGGTCCAAGTTTTTTTCTATAGAAAAAAATTCGTCGGACCACAGGTCCATGTTTTTTTCTATAGAAAAAAATTCGTCGGACCACAGGTCCATGTTTTTTTCTATAGAAAAAAATTCGTCGGACCACAGGTCCATGTTTTTTTCTATAGAAAAAAAAATTCGTCGGACCACAGGTCCATGTTTTTTTTCTATAGAAAAAAAATTCGTCGGACCACAGGTCCATGTTTTTTTCTATAGAAAAAAAAATTCGTCGGACCACAGGTCCATGTTTTTTTCTATAGAAAAAAAAATCGTCGGACCACAGGTCAATGTTTTTTTTTTCTATAGAAAAAAAAATCGTCGGACCACAGGTCAATGTTTTTTTTTTCTATAGAAAAAAATTCGTCGGACCACAGGTCCATGTTTTTTTTTCTATAGAAAAAAATTTGTCGGACCACAGGTCCATGTTCTTTTTCTATAGAAAAAAATTTGTCGGACCACAGGTCCATGTTTTTTTCCATAGATAAAAATTTAGCTGAGGATTTTTTTCTATAGAAAAAATCGACCTCAGTAGTTGAGAATTTTTTTTCTATAGAAAAAAGTTATCCTCAGTAGCAGAGGAATTTTTTTCTATAGAAAAACGTCTTCCTCAGTAGCTGAGGAATTTTTTTCTATAGAAAAAAGTCTTCCTCAGTCGCTGAGGAATTTTTTTCTATAGAAAAAAGTCTTCCTCAGTAGCTGAGGAATTTTTTTCTATAGAAAAAAGTCTTCCTCAGTAGCTGAGGAATTTTTTTCTATACAAAAATGTCTACCTCCGGACCTGAGTATTTTGTTTTTCTATACAAAAATGTCTTCCTCTGGACCTGATGAAGACTTTTCTGTAGAAAAAAGTCTTCCTCGGGGCCTGAGGATTTTTTCTATAAAAAAGTCATCCTCAGTAGCTGAGAAATTTTTTTCCTAAAGAAAAAAGTCTTCCTCAGTAGGTGAGGAATTTTTTTCTATAAAAAAAATCATCTGAAGATCTGGCGTTGAATTTTTTTCTATAGAAGGAGTCTCCTTTGGACTTTTGTTTTTTATGGAAAATCCATCCTCAGGAAAATCCATCCTATGGAAAATCCTAATTTTTTACTTACCGCTCCCGTAAACAATCGTCCCGCCACAATACCGCTATCCTGACTTAGTCTTCTTGCGTATAGAGTTTTATTTGAACTATCACCACGAGCGGCCATTCGTTCACTTTTGGCTGGACTTGAGACAATCTGGCGTTTGCCCAGTGTCGAACGTAGTGGGGCATTTCGAAGGGCTGGTACCGAAAGGAAACCTGCAGAACAAAAAAAATACAACAGAAATTATTTATTTATAAAAATTTATTTTATTTTTGCGCATTAAAAATAAATACAAAAAATTATAAATTCAGACCAATCGACCACCCATCCAGACCGATTGGCGACTGGCGGGTTGTGACTTACGCGGAAATTGTTGCGTGGCCGTGGAGAATAGCCGGCTGTGACGTGCACTATTGCCTCGTTCACACTCCTCCTCGTCGTCGGGATCACGTACGATTAGGTCTTCATGTGAATTTGATTCGGTAATGGGTGCTGTACTGGTATCCTCTTCGAGGCTATCTATGCGAATTGCATAGGGCGGGTGGTGTTGCGACTGCTGCTGGTGGCTCTGCGTGTTATTCGACGATGACGAAGTACGGCTGCTGCTGCCATTACGTTTAAGTGCATTATTTTGTTCATTCATGTTCTTGGGGGAGAGTCAAATATTTTTTGTCAAGGCCATAGATTTGGAACTTGCGTTCTCCACTATTTTTTTTTTGGGTTTTAAAAATAGTTTGAATTGATTTTCTTTTTCAAACAAAAATTATGTCCGCTCCTAATTTACATGATTTGTTACTTAATGTTTTTTGTTGTAGTTGTTGTTGTTTTTTATATTTTCCTAGTGTTCGTTATTGTTGTTGTAGCTTTCTAATACTGCCCTGGAAAAGTTATTTTTCTTTGCTTTTAATTTGTTTTGATTTTTTTTCTCGAATCCCGACCACCAGCTGTTTCCATTTACACGCTGAATATTTTATGGTGGAGAGAGGTTTTGAATAATTTATTTCAATTCAACATTGTATTTTATTATATTGCATACCTAATAATAATTTTAATGGGAGGGAGAATTTATAAAAAAATCGATACATTTTTTCCTCAAGAAATAAAATTCCACAGTTGCAATGAGGTCAGGCGATTTTTTTGTCCTAAAGAAAAAATTGGAAATAAAGTCTAGCGATTTTTTTACTATATAAAAAATGGGTCTGGCGATTATTTTTCTATAGAAAAAATTTGAACCTGTGGTCCGACGAATTTTTTTCTATAGAAAAAAAACTAGGGAGCTGTGATCCGACGAATTTTTTTCTATAGAAAAAAAACTAGGGAGCTGTGATCCGACGAATTTTTTTCTATAGAAAAAAAACTAGGGACCTGTGTTCCGACGAATTTTTTCTATAGATAGAACAAAACTAGGGATCTGTAGTCCGACGCATTTTTTTTCTATAGAAAAAAACTAGGGATCTGTGGTCCGACGCATTTTTTCTATAGAAAAAAACTAGGGACCTGTGGTCCGACGCATTTTTTTTCTATAGAAAAAAACTAGGGACCTGTGGTCCGACGCATTTTTTTCTTTAGAAAAAAACTAGGGACCTGTGGTCCGACGCATTTTTTTCTATAGAAAAAAACTAGGCACCTGTGGTCCGACGCATTTTTTTCTATAGAAAAAAAACTAGGGACCTGTGGTTCGACGCATTTTTTTCTATAGAAAAAAAAACTAGGGACCTGTGGTCCGACGCATTTTTTTCTGTAGAAAAAAACTATCGACCTGTGGTCCGACGCATTTTTTCTATAGAAAAAAACTGGGGACGTGTGGTCCGACGCATTTTTTTCTATAGAAAAAAACTAGGGACCTGTGGTCCGACGCATTTTTTTCTATAGAAAAAAACTAGGGACCTGTGGTCCGACGCATTTTTTTCTATAGAAAAAAACTAGGGACCTGTGGTCCGACGCATTTTTTTCTATAGAAAAAAACTAGGGACCTGTGGTCCGACGCATTTTTTTCTATAGAAAAAAACTAGGGACCTGTGGTCCGACGCATTTTTTTCTATACAAAAAAACTAGGGACCTGTGGTTCGACGCATTTTTTTCTATAGAAAAAATTTGGACCTGTCCGATGATTTTTTTTCTGTGGTCCGATTTGTTTCTCAGAAAAATCCTCATTTGGTCTTCATGAGGTCTTGTCCTCTAAAGGATGATGTTATCCTCAGCTTCATCAGACCTCTGAAGGGTTTGAAGATGTATGAGCCTTCTGTCGATTCGTCAGACATACTTCTGTCTTTAGTATTTTCTGATGATTTTTTAGTATTTCCGATGATTTTTTTTCTGTGGTCCGATTTGTTTCTCAGAAAAATCCTCATTTGGTCTTCATGAGGTCTTGTCCTCTAAAGGATGATGTTATCCTCAGCTTCATCAGACTTCTGAAGGGTTTGAAGATGTATGAGCCTTCTGTCGATTCGTCAGACATACTTCTGTCTTTAGTAGAAAATTCTCAGTCTCTTAAGAAAACAAAAAAAAAAAAAAAAAAAAAAACATATTTAGGCCCCTGTTAAAGGCTTGTCTTACCGAAAAAAAACCTCAAGTCTCTTTGGATGATTTTTTGTGAAAAACAAAATTCCCCAGGCCTTTGATTAAATATTTTTCTATAATAAAAAAATATCCGGTCCCCTAGGAAAACATGCTCTATGGGATTTGCACCTCAAATAATGGCCTAAACCACTCAAATAGGTTCAAAACGAAGAAGCGTATAAGTGTTGTCGTTACCCATACGCATGGGGAACCTATAAGCTGAGAAAAAATCCCTAGAACCACCTGAGGAAAATATTGTATAAAAATTGCGCGATTCAAACAGCTAAAATTTTTTTATAAAAAAAAAATTGAAAGATCCTCCTGATGATGATAAAAAATCTTCGAAGAAAATAAAAAATTAAAAATATTCATCACGACCCAGAGAATGGCTAAATGAAAAAAGTTATCGGTGCGTATACGTGGTGTCGCTACTCATACTCATACAGCAGTTTCAATGGCCTTAAACCACTTGAATAGGTTCAAAACGAAGAAGCGTATAAGTGTTGTCGTTACCCATACGTATGGGTAACCCATAAGCTGGGAATTTCTCCGTAAACGTGGTAGGCTTTTATCTGTAAAATATTAAAAAAATCCGTAGAACCATCTGAGTAAAATATGTATGTTTTTATAAAAAAAATCGAAAGAACCTCCTGATGAAGATAAAAAATTCTTCGAAGATTTTTTTTCTGTAAAGACAAAATTAAAAAAGTCCCTACAGAAGACATATTTATTTAAAAAATGAATGGGTAAAAATGAAAAAGGCCATCGGTGCGTATGCGTGCTGTCGGTACTCATACTCAACAGTTGATTTATTGGCCTTAAACCATTTGAATAGGTTCAAAACGAG